CTAAGCCCTTGACTGTTGCTGTCGATTTAAAAAATTCGGCTCGAGCCATCAACTTAATCCCTCAATAATCCTTTACTAAACTGCTATCAACAAGCACTATTGTGTGGCTGTCACTATTTTGCCTTTCCTATCTTTTCTTTACCCTTACATGCCCCCTATTAAAATGTTTTTTTTCTTTCAAACAAATAAAAAAAAGGAAGTGACGTTCCACGAGCGGCCTCATTACAAAATAAATTGTTAATAATCAATTTGGTTATCACCAGTCGAGGAGCATCTAAATGCAACGAAACAAGGTTGTATCGTTGTAGTTGGTTGTTTTTGTCTATATGAAAAAAGAATTATAAATAATTATAGCTCTAATCTCGGTATTGGACCCTCTTTTGAATTAATGCAGTGAAGTTTAGAATTTATATATTTTCGTTCCCATTACAAAATTGAAGGACATTTACTCAAAGGGCCGCTGTGTAATTGAGAAAATTTGACAAAATTAATATCGACTACAGGTTACAAATCAAATATAAATATATAAAGAATAAATAAAACGATTATCTAATCTAGCAAGGACCTATATTTTTATGTTCAAAAACACATGCGAATCCACACATACACAATAACATATACACGTATACATACACATAGGCGTGTACCCACATACACACATACATATACCCATGTACACACATGCACATATATACACATATCCATATAAATACACACATACACATACATACACACACATACATATATATACATATACACATACACACATACACATATATACACATATACACACACATATATCCACCCATATCCATATACACACACTTTCCACATACATATACATAAATACATACACATGCACACATATACACATATAAACACACACACACACACACACATATATATATATATATATATATATATATATATATATATATATACATACAAAAATACATACACACATACATACATACATACTCATACATCCATACACCTGAAGATGATGAAGGATACTAGGATACAATGAATTACTGAGATTGAAGGAAATTACGGGAATGATGAAACATTCAAAGAGAAATTAAGTTACGATTGACATTGTATGTAAAGTATTTAAAACAGTAGTTATGAAAGCAATAATCCGAAAGTGACTAACACAAATAAAAAAAAACTATTAGCACAGAACATGTCTAAATGGAGGAATTACAAGAGTGAAAGTATAAGACCTAACTACCAAACTAGCACTGCACTGAAGTCGAGGTAACAACGAAGAAAGATCACCCGTACTATTACAGTGAAATAGTTATTAAAAAGAAAGTGAAATAACGTTAGGGCGGTGGGAAAGAGACTGATATCAACATGCTACTTCAAGATCGAAAATATTGCAGATTATTATTTGGATTTTGGCAAGAATAGCTTGATATAAAACATGAGTCCAAGAAGAGATATGGGAACAATATTCGATCTATATGAATATGGGTAAGATAAATTCTCCAGAGAAAAAATTGTTTAGCACAAGATAGATAATTGATTTTATTACCAGTAGACATAGTAATCGATTCAATATAATAATTCCACATTATGTCAGTGAAAAAGTTGAGATCAAGATTGGACAGTCACCTGGAGGTTAGCATCAACCATCCAGATGAAAAGCAAAACCTTCTTTAATACGATTAACTGATAGAGAGCATTTTTTTTTTGTTTTTGGTGGAAGCTTTAGGATTAACAAACTCCTTTTAACACTAATTAAAAGATTAATTGTAAATTTCGTGATTATCTAACGATTTTATTTTATCAAACCGATATCAGCCCAGATCCCAGGTGGAACTCGTACAAGCGTTTAATCGTTAATGAGACTGTAAAATGGTCAGTTCCTTGCACCACTTCAGTAAGTATCTGACTCCTCCTGCTATTCTTTACCTTTACACGGGCCAGGGCAAGCCGAAAATGAAGAATTGCTGCTAGATATGAACAGTAGTTTCCCAGTCTTCACTTTCCATTCACGATATAGTCCAAAAGCGTCTCCGCGTCCTTGTGGGTGGCTAATTTTTCTTCAAACCTACAACCTCTTTCCCACTGACGTAACGTTGCAAGTCTTTCGTCAATCTATCGCAATTTCAATGTAAAGACTTCAGAGGAACTGCCTTCCTTAGTTCCACCAGTTCTAACATTCACGTCTAAGACCCACCATGCCACGCCCATTGGACTGAACCACCCTCATTCCATTCGTATTCCAATGGCGAGATATAAGGTCAACTCGAACAGCTTTCTTTCCACGAACTGCTGCTTTTTGGAACAGATTCCAAGAGGCGACTTCGCGTATTACAACAAACTTAATCTGTTCAGACGTATGGTTAACGGTTATATTTTCCACATGAGCCAATGAACTGTACCTCTTTCACCGAAAGGTTCTACATCGAGTGGCTCTTGGGGTTTGTTTAGGGGGAGCATTGTTGTAAAAAAAGAAAAAAAAAAGAATGTATGTGTTTGCACCCATGCCTGCTATAGAATGTAAACTGAAGTAGACGAAAAACGTTAGCATAAAAAAGCGACACACACACACACACACACACACACACACACACACACACACACACACATATATATATATATATATATATATATATATATATAGAGAGAGAGAGAGAGAGAGAGAGAGAGAGAGAGAGGGGAAACAAAAACAATATACATGTTTCCTTTGAAGTATAATGAATCAGTAGACAAGAAATACATGTAAGGTAGTATATTTCAGAGAGAAAGAAAGCCATATTAAATATTCAAGAAAAATTACGCTTGATAGTATCAGAGTTGTGAGCGAAAAGCTACATAGGGGAGACAATGAAAACTATACAAATTAAAGTTAGAGCTTTATATAGAACAGTGATAGGAAATCATGTTTTGTTGAATAAAGAAGGGTTAAAACTAGATCAAAGACAATAAAAATATTAATGAAATATGTAAAACACTCATCAAACAAATGCAGCTAAAATAATAAAGAAAAGACTCTAAGGCACGACGGTTTGTTAATAAAAACAAATTGGGAACAAAATCCCTGACATGGCGAATATGCCCTCATAAGAATGTGGATGTAATTAAACAAAAAAACATCGCTTATCAACTGAAGAAATCAGAGCTCAAAATCGAGATGGAAGGATTTATATTGGCTCCACATTACGAATGCTTATTCAACAGGAATTACCCAGGAAATACATTAAAAATGATGCAGATCCAATATAGAATTTATTTGGCATACATACTTAGACGATTGATAAATTAGTGTATTGAAAGAATATGAAAAAATGACATAAAAAATGGAAAATATGTTTCTTATTAGAGTGTATCACGTGCTGAAATATAGTATGAATATCATACTGGAATTATGATAAAATGTAATAATGTCACTTTTCTTTGGAATTTTAACATTCATACTAACAGATAAATCTAAAAGACCAGAGAGAGAAATGACAAAATCTAAGTAAATATAAGGATGTTGTAATTTATATTATTTATTTTATATACTTTAACATATACTTAATTATCTGACAGCATTGCCATTTATATACGATGGCATATTTTGTACGTAGGCTGTAATCACAATGTGTTGTCTTTTAGATTAAATTGGATAAGTCTGTAAATAGGAATGGCAAAGTTCATGGTCTTCTATGACTAGTGGTGAATGATTCCCTACTATTTTTTCATTATATTGCTCGATAGCTTTTATGAAGTAGTAATAGCCAAGTAGATTGAAGCGTTAGTTCGTGAATTTAGTTTGTGAATTTCTGATCTTTAGGAAGTTACTGGTTATGGATCTCCACAATTTCTTACCCTTTGTAGCTCCTGATAAATTTTGTCTTTCTTATATCCCCAAAATGTTGTTCAGCCATTTATTTACTTATCTTCATTATGTATGTTATGCGTTGTTTTCCTATTTCTGTCGTGCCTTCAATTTGTCCTATGAGTATCAAATTTCCAAACCCTCTTTCCTCATTTCAATTGTTCCTTCCTGAATTTATGTTTGCTTATTGTTTCCATGTTATCTAAACGTTCGTTATTGCTCACACGTTCTTTTCCTGGTATCCTCAGTATCATTCTGTAGAACTACATGTCTGTTGCTTCAATTATCTAATTCAACTTTGACATTTACAGTGTTAACGGCCATATAGCAGAAGTGATCTTACGCAACGGTTCAATACACTTTATTTTTGTTTCTATTTTCCTGTTTCTTAATACTTTACTCAACTTTTGGAAGGCATTTTTCTCTATCCCAATGCGCCTTCAGATTTCAGTGTCACATTTTACGTCATTTGTTAAAACACTTCTCAAATATTTAAATTGCTCTAAACATTTGATTTTGGTATATCCAATTTTTAATTTACCTTTTGAGACTGTTACTTTTGCCACCAAGAATGCTTTCTGTAAGAATTCTTGTAGCTTTCTTTCTTTGTCTGCTATTAACACCGTGCCATCTGCATATATTATGTGGTTAATATTGTGTTTGCTAAAGTTGCAAACAAATGAATAGAAATACGGAAGACGAAACTATTGATAAATGAAGGCTATGAAATTACCCATTATATTTTACGATTTATATCAACCCATATCCAAGGACATCAGTGTTGATTATGTGATTTATATATAATTATTTTATGACTTTCCCTGAAATATCAGTATGTATTGCACTGTAGATAAAAATACGAACTGAAATTTATGCATATTTCTCCACTTAATATACATTTTTTACTGACATGGATTGGAAGCATCTTTTGTCGTAAATTCTTGGTGTTGCAAAACAAGTATCTACTAGAGACGTCTGTATCCTAATTGAAAAGTTACTTTTATTGTAGACTTGTCACGAACAGAATGTGTTTAAGCTTACAGTGTTTCAATCAAATTGAGGAGTAGCGTCCTGTGTTTGACAGACTCGAAACTAAAGAAAAATATTTGAGAAAAAATACAATCATCTCATATTGTGTAAAAGTATGGAACCAGAATTAGGTGGAGTGTTATAGCATTAAAAACAATAGAAAGAAAGAGACAAAGATAGAGGGAAGAATGGAAGGAAATGCAGACAGAGAGAAAAAGGGTAAATTGAATGCGAATAAAATAGAAAACATTAAAAGTGAGTAAAAATATATATGAATGTAGAGGAAATAAAAAAAAGAAATAGAGAGAGAGAGAGAGAGAGAGAGAGATAGAGAGAGAGAGACAGAGATAGAGAGAGAGACAGAGAGAATTAAAAAAGAGAAATAAAGAAAAATAAAGGAGAATTTATAATAAAAAGAAAGAAAAACAGAATTTGCAATGAGGAAAGAAGGAAAGGAACATTCGTAAGAAAGAAAGGAAAGAAAGAAGGAAAGGAAAGAAAGAAAGAAGGAAAAGAATGAAAGAAAGAAGGATAGGAATGAAAGAAAGGAAAGAAAGAAAGGAAAGAAAGAAAGAAAGAAAGAAAGAAAGAAAGAAGGAAAGAAAGAAAGAAAGGAAAGAAAGAAGGAAAGGAAAGAAAGAAGGAAAGGAAAGAAAGAAGGAAAGAAAGGAAAGAAAGAAAAATTGATAAAGGAAAGAAAGAAAAATTGAGAAAAAGAAAAAGAAAGAAAAGAATTTATAAGAAAGAAATGAGAACAAGACGAAAAGAAAGATGCCTAACTAGAGAATGATAAAAAAATAGGAACATCTGTAATAAAGAAAGACAAAAGAAAGTGAAATAAGGAAGTTCAAGAGATGAGAAGTTTGAAGAAAAATGGAATAAGGTGAATAAATTAAAATATAAATGAAGAAACAAAAAAGACAGAAAGAATCGAAAGAAACTTAGAAGGAATAAGTCAGAAAAATAAATAGTAACGGAGAACACGAAGAAAAGCGAAAAACAGTGTGTAAAGGAAAAATGAAAATAATACATGGATGAGACGTAAAAAAAGAAAAAAAATAGGAATGTAAAAGAAAGGTAGAAAAAAAGAATCAGTATAAATTTCAGTGGAAGCCAATTTAGAATAAAGACGAATCGAAATTAGTATGAATCAATGATTTGGATACGAAAAGGGGAAATGAATAAATGAAAAGAAGAAATCTGAAGAGAAGAAATAAAACTGAAAATTTCTACGAAAAGATGAAAAACGTGAAAGAATGAAATAATATGATTGATTATTAGGAGAGAAAGAAGGTAAACTATTACAAAGGGACCGTTATAACAAATGAAAGAAAGAAAAAGAACGTGTGTTACTTAAATAAATTAAAAGATGAAGAAAATATAAGTATTTGGAAGAATAAAGAAATAAAAACGAACGGGAAAAAGCAAACGTAAATCCGAATAAAAAAAAATTGGATAAAGATATAAAAGAATATTATGAAAGGAAATCTGGAAATAATAAAGACGGGAAATATAAAGAAAACTCGATAAAAAAAGGAAGTTAATGTTACTAGAATCAATATAGAATAAAACCATATTACAAATAATATAAATGCAAAGATTAGGGGAAAAAGAAAAGGAAATGAAGAAATACAAAGAGAAAATCATAATAAAACAGAAATGAAAACAACAAATAAATGAAAGAATATCATGAATAGAAAATGAAAATTTAGAAAAGGATAACAGGAGGGGAGAACTAATATCCATGCAAAAAATAAAAGGCAATAATTTAAAATCGCGAAAAGGAAAACGAAACGAACTTCCTGTACAGCAGAGAAAGTATCAATAAGATTGCTTGGCTTCTGGCAAGAGAAGAGCATAAAAAAAGATGTCACTGTTTGGCTCGAAAACACAAACATAAAGCAATCGATTCAATGGACAAGCGTGAATTTGAAGCCACGCTGTCATAACAATATCATATTGTTCTTCTCAAGAGAATTGACCCAGGTTCATTTCAGTTCAACAGCAAAAGCATCAACACCATTTCCGTTGCCCCTACGATCATAACGACAGCATTCAAGGCCAACTTTCTCCAATACAAATAAGCAAAATATAATAATTACGACTGATACCTTATCCTCATTACCCCCAAAATCTCCATTTTCCTAATATCATTGGTTCTATTCAACTTCATGCTTTTGTCACCAAGAAGAACATGAACACATTTATACAAAAAAAAAAAAAAAAAAAAAAATAATTAAAAATTTAAATTATCGAAAAGAGTTCTAACATTGGTCATTTCTCACTCTCCCTTTTTTAATCATTTTACCCCCAAGGATAGTAAACACTAAGACGGAAAAAATGGTAACTAAGAGTGAATAAGAAATACTTTAAGAACCATGAAAATAAAAGAGCAGGTTTCAGGAAGACAAAAGATGCCGATTGACATTGCATTTAAAATTTTGAAGATTGTTAGTGGAAAGGAAACAAGAAAACGGTAGAGAGTTCTACAAGCAAATGTGAAGAAACTATTAGAATAGAACTTGAGGTATAAATCTTTTTATTTCGACAGTAAACTGATGAGTCATGGTTGCCAATCTAGTAGTACGCTTAAATTCTTGTGGGTCGAGCTCATTAGAACAACTGCCGTGAAAATGTTTATTGAAAAGATAGAGGTAAGCCACGTCACTGGGAAAATGAAGTCGAGATGCCAGGTCAGGACCGATAATATTATTGAAACTAGCTTAAAAGACACAGTCTGTGCGGTCTTTTAAACGAGATCATGCGGAAAACTAATTGGATCTTTGGCCCAAAACTAAAGGTACCTCTGTTTCAGCTTAGAAATCAGTAATGATAATTTTGAATTTCACACCATGGGACATCAATCCTCACTTTAACTCTGATTCGGCTATAAGTCCAATTGCATCCCTGCGTCTATGTAGAGTAAGTGTGGCCCGAGTTAGGTGTTTCAGACACAAAGACATACAGACAGAATTTGCCGCTTATTTATTTGTAATAAACGTCTATAAATACGCTGCCGACAATTTCACATGGTCACAAACATTTTGGTTTCGCTCAATTAAACTACTATAGACACTGAACTAAAGGACACCCCAACACAAAATAGAGCGCAAAACAGCTTTTGTTGTAGGCTACTCTCCCCTAGATTAGAAACAGAATTGAGTGATTGTTAATATTTCACTGTGTATTGAAAACATACTTAGACCGCAGGTAATAAAGTTTTCGTAAAGACATAGCTGAGTCCAAAGCTGCGGAAGTGTTAAAATATGTATAATAAAGGAACGTGTAATCCAGGGTTTTTCATTTTTCTTCGATCATATAGTTTGAGTTAAACCACTGCTATTGCAAAATTTCCAAATATTCGGAAAAGAGAAATGGTGTTTTCGCCGTATAAGGATATTCGTCTTATAATTGACCAGTATTTATAGTTTGTAGTGAAACCTATCTTCTTAGATACAAGACTACTCTTATATGCGCTTAAATTCGATAAATCCATTTTGCGTCATAACAGTTACGGAGAGAAGCTTTTTCGTTATTCCTATAGGCTGCATCTTTAAAAAGCTGCCATATACAAGTAATACCTAAAGCACACTATTCTTAATATTAGAATTGCTTACTTAATGCAACTGATAACAACCAGTTAAACTTGTCAGATAGTAGAGCTGTTGAAGCAGAGCTCTTTAAAAATTAAGTTTTGGGGTTTTATTGATATGCATTATTAACAAGTCATCGGTGATCAACAATAGCAGAGACAGGTTTTTTTTCTACTTCATGTAAAATGGGATGAAACCAATAAATGTGTGCGTAACAAATGCAGCAAAGACCTGAAACGAAAACATTTCAACAGAACTGTTGTAAGGTTTCAGCAAAGGAAAAGATAATTGTATATCAAAAAGCTTTTTTCTTTTTATTCTACTTACTATACGATTGTTATGAATAATAAAGAGTGGTCTACCCTTGTTTTGTTACTCTCTTCTTTGAGAGAGCTATGTCTGTTTACAGGGATTATAACACTATATGCGAACCTTGTATTCTGAATTGAATGAAGCTTTCTTTGCCCCTTTTATCCTAGAAAATCACAACGCATTTTCCTTACAGAGTTTTGCCTTCAATTCAAGTTTTTCCTCTTTGTCTTGTCATGTCCACATTTGCTTGGGATGATATACATTCTTACATCCTACAAAAGCACACAAAATACTATAAATTACTGAATTAATATGATTTCTTCCATATTTTAAATAATATATATATATATATATATATATATATATATTTATATATTTATATATATATATATATATTGATTTTGGAGTTGTTTTTTCTGTTTTCATTTTTGAATTTGTAGGTCTGATGATTTGGATCGTATTTACGATTTCATTGGAATAAATTATGACCATGGAATATTAGTGTTTAAGCCTTTTTTATATATTTTTTTTTTTATATATATATATATATATATATATATATATATATATATATATATATAGTTTTATTTTATTTATTTATTTTTTTTTGTAATTTAATTGAAATCTATTGCAAAGTTCCGGATATTTCTGGAATATTTTTTAATGTTTATAGTCAACGAATATTTTTAATATAAATTATACCAGGTTTTTTAAGTTGAATACATTCTTAACCAAGGAAGGATCAAGACAGATTTTCGAATTTACAGTTGAAATCTTTTTTTTTTTTTCAAATATATTCTCAATTGCCAAGTTAATGTAACGATTTTGTCTTCAATAGGGATGTCAATTTAGGTCATCACTGGTGTTTATAAAACTGAGGCGAGGCACAGATTTCATTTCCCCACTTCCTACACGATGGTACCCTCTTTCTTTCTCCTACTCTCTGTATGGAATCACTATTAATTTTTAAACCTAGAGTAAATTTTCCATCTTCATTTGGTCGGCGGGTCTGAAGATTGGAAGGTATATTTTATCGACTTCAATGAAATAAAACAACACCTATGTTTTTTTTAAGTGTTTGTATATAATAATGTTTGCTCTGTCTTGACAGAGCTCTCAACAGTTATATATCCTCTTGGAAATTCCACAGTTATTACCAATCATTTTATTATTATTATAAATACATACATATATATATATATATATATATATATATATATATATATATATATATATATGTGTGTGTGTGTGTGTGTGTGTGTGTGTGTGTGTGTGTGTTTTCGGAAATATTACTGATTTTTTTTAATATTGCTATTTCAACTCTGAAAGTATATTTAACGTCAGTGTCTTCGTTTGATGAAGGCAATTTTCTCTGAACAAAAATCAACAAATCCCAATGTAGAAACGAAGATATGAATAAACAGAAAGAAATTTAGAAGTGTATACTCAATATGAGTCGCCATTTTGATATCCTGCTAAAATGTTCACAAGTTCAATTTTCCCGTGTGTGGCATCGACTGTTTTCTCGCTTAAGTTTTCGGTTAGGTTTTTCTTTTTTTTCGAAAACCTTTCTATGAAAACATTAACGCGGGAAATAAAGAAAATGAAAACAAGTGAAAAGGAATGTCGGAAAAATGAGGAGATTTTTGCCGATTGCCTTCAAAGTTCCGAAATAAACTGACATATTAAAATAAATGAGAGAAAACATTCCTCAAACTCGAGAAAATAAATTTTCCCTGATTGAAAGAAAATAAAAAAAAAACAGGCAAAGCAAATATCTGTGAGAAAAATAAGCAAATGGTGAAAAGACAGATGTTTGAGGCAAATGCAAAATATCTTTCCTAAAATATGAAGTATGGTACAGTGATGAAAGGTCGATTTGGGTTTATGTGTGTCTTCATGCATGGATGTTCGTGTTTGTCTATGTGCTCTTGTCCATTTTTGTGTTTTTGTGTAACTATGTGAGATAGATATAAAAGATGAATGAAATTTTGAATGAATGAAAATTTAATTTTGTTTCGAATGAAAAGATACGGATCAAATCAAATCTTGAAAAAGTGAATTTGACAGAATAAGAGCGAAAAGACTGATTAAAATAAATCTAAAATCTTTCAAATATGAAGGTAGCAAATAAAATCTATCATGTGTGAAATGTAGAGAGCAATGAAAGAGAAAAAAAGTAAAATATGGAACTGAAGAAATAGGAAGAAAAACAAAGAAAGAAATAAGAATGTGAATGAAAACAGAAAGAGACTCATAGAAGTATGCATGATATAATTAAAAAAAAATGAATCTAGAATGGGGAGTAAATTCAGGAAAAAGGAAAACTCAAAATTAAAAAAAATAAAAATAAATAAACAAAAAATTAGGAAAAATAAAGAAAGAACATGTCAACGTTAAGAAAGAAAGTAAATAAATACCGAAATAGATAAAGAAAGTAAAAGCAAACAAAAAAGGATGAATGAACGAAGGAAAATGAATGAAAAAAAACAGGGAAACGGAAGGAAAATGAGTAAAGAAAGAATAAAGAAGAAATAAAAATAAGAACAAAAGAAATAAAAAATAAGAAAAAAATAAGCAAAAATGTCAAAAATATATAAGTAAAGAAAGAAAGACAAAAGAATTGTAAATCGTACAAAATAAAAGGAAGAATCAGTTGAAGAAAGAAAATAGAAAAATGCGGAACGCAAAACAAAATATTAGATTTTTGGAAAAAAAATAAAACTGTAAATTTTATGCCTCATTTTGTGAAAAATCGATCATTCTTGTCAAGGATACAAAGCAAATGATGAAATAAACAAAATTGCAAACATAAGGATATTTATGAAAATAGAACGTGAAAAATATTCGTCAATTCCTTCCGCTGGGGTTGATTTTTTTTTTCACGCATTCTACTGGTGGGAGCAGTGATTGTCAGGAGTTTGCCTTTGGAAATGGGATGCATTTTTTGAGATGCTCATTTTTTGGTTGTTTAAATAACAATTTAAAACCAAACATCGACTGTTAAGTGATTTGGGCATCGAATAAATGTTCTCAATCGATAATTATAATGATCGAAAGGGACTCAGAATAAAAAGATAAAAATGAATCGGAGGAAAATAATAGCAAAACCTTGGACGTTAAAATATATAGAAACATGGAAGAACAAGGAATGAAGAAAGAAAATATCGAATTAAATTAGAATAATCAATGAACAATGAAATGTGAATGAAAAATATGAAAGGGAATGATTAAAGTTGAATCAACTGAAAAAAAATTGAAAATTACCATTTTTGTCTAGCTCAAGGCTACAATATTTAGGCTTCCTGTGAGAATTGAACCAATTCTTAAGCCTAATTGTAGCTTAATGTAAGGGGATTTAAAACAAACAATTTTTATTTTCGTACATATATGTATTCTTTTTTTTATAAGCATTTCACCACAAGCAAGACAATAAAGCCACTAAGACATCATGGGTTAACGATTTTGAAAGAATGAGAAAAATATATTTAAAATTGAGACAATAAGAGAACAGAGATTAAGATAACGACTAACATTGTATATAAAATTTTGAAGATAAGAATTGGAAAGCAATAAGCCGTAAGAAAGTTCCACAAGCAAGAAGTGCGAGAGAAGAAACTTAGCATAGAAATGACGGTTACATCTATGTCATTTCAACAGTAAACTAATGAGGCAGTTTCGTGATTCCATCGTCCAAGAACTGGCATTTTATAGACTTCCAGGTAATTCTTTCCGTTTAGGGGATTTAGTAAGGATCAAAGTAGAAAGAAATCTGAACTTGTGTATTATAAGTGCAGTAAGACATCATGAATTAATTGTACAAATTTATTTATTGATGCTAATGTAGTGAGGACTGGCGTTGACTTGATGGAGGGATATACCTTTCCGATTGGTAAATTACGGTCGCTTTTAATCGATTACTACCATTTGGGAACAGTACTTTCATGAATTCAACGTCATATTGTGAAAGCAGCTCATAATACACAATGCCTTTCGAATGCACCACGTTTTCGACACTACCGGCGTATCTAGTACATGCCAAGTAGAGCATATTCCATGGTCACCACTCGGTGAGATGCCACTGAACACTAAACAAATAACTTCTAGTGTAATAACAATTATTATTAGGCGCTAAACACTAAATTAACTAGTGACTTGTTGAGAACGATAGCTTTTTTGTAAAGCTCGGCGTTAATCGTTTGACATTAACAAATATAAGTTAGTGAAATCAAGGAATGTGAATTTTAGATTTAAACGACACATTGCTGCTTCTCCTGTTTTCGTATTTCATATAGAGGACTACTGGGGCAACCAGGTCTAAACAATTTATTGCATTATTTACAATTAAAATATGACTTTGCTGTCATTATATTTGCATACGTTCTCGGTTAAAAACATTAATGACTATTAAAACTAGAAACACCCATGAAAACTCTACGGTTTTCCTATTTCTGATGAATCTTAATTCTGCAATTAATGCCTGAATATGATCATAGCAAGTTCTACGATAGTAAAATATCCGTAGAAATTCCCCTATCGCATCGTTAAATATTTGAGCTTAATGACTTTAACAAAATTTTGCTACAACAATCATAAATATGAATGGTGGTCGTTATTTTAAGAAGTGGGTAGAAATGTAAAAGATTTCAAATTTACTGTTTCAATGAAACAGCCTTTAAATACTTCTCTCTTCCCTTCCTTTGTTTCTTTCTTTCGTTTTCTCACTCAGGAGACGGTGTTATTTTATTTATGTTAATTGGATTTTGGCTGATTGCCTTACACTGTTTCTGATAATGTACGCCTTCAAAATATTTTAAAAAAGTGGGAACAAATGAAAAGAAGCTAACTTTTTGAAAGACTTCTATCTCCACTTCCCTTCTTTCTTTCTCTCAAGTAGCGTCTCTGCTATGTCTTTTCCTTCTTTCCGCGCAATGAAACCGGAATAGTCCATTATTTATGAGGTATTGCCAAGGCGTAACGTTGGTGTTTGCTAAAAGAAATACAAGTAGAATTATAAGACATTCGTCTTTTCGTACTGTACATTATTATTATTGAAACATTGAAAGGTGATTCTGTAACGCCACAACAGAAGGATTACTTGGTATGCCATTATATAATGTTTTATTACATTTTCGAAAATAAATATGTAAACTAGAATTAAAGCGTGGTTTCATATAGTCTATAATCATGTATTCTAGAACATTGTTTTGTTCTAATTGTGTTTTGATAATTTTGTAAATGAATATTTTCATGTCGTAAGAATTTCTATCCCCTTGAAATAAAATATAAATAAATGAGACTTCTTTCTGATGTAACATTCTTTACTATACATATATATTAATGTTCTTGACTTGTATGTTTTGAATTACTAATAGGTAATTCTAGGTCATCTAGCATTTGGTGGCTACCAATCTAATATAAATATAATCTAATCTAATATCTAATAAATATCTAATCTAATATAAATATAAAACACTGAATTTCAAAGTGTCGTGGAGGAAACGGGTAACAACTTAAATATATTTCCCGGTAATTAATAACAATTCTGATAATAATGATAAGAACGTATTGATCATCTACTCTTGAAGTATGTGACTTTAAAAAATGTAATTTGCATTTTGGTATCACATCTATACATAGGCCGCAATATTAGTGCCACATTCTCGAGATACACATTTGCCTTTCAGAAAAGATGCTTGCCAGATGTGTTATCCTACCGCGTGGCGTCGCTAATAGTGAAGATGCTAGGATGTTTGAATATTTATTCTGTAGTTTTTAATGGCATGTACAAACGTGTCCGTTCGGTGTTGGGAGCACTGAGTACAATGGCGTGCTGAAATGTCCCCAGTCTGATCAACGTCTCAAAATCTGAAGAATTGGCAAAATAGGAGCATATTTTCTATACCTTCTTCCTCAGATTGTGATACCGGAATAGTACACCCAAGTAATATATGAAGCAACTGTTAGTTTTCAAATATCGTATCCGGAGAATAAGTCCCGAAAAGTGATTACTTGTAACATTACAATAAGGCGATGTTGAGCTGCTGTTGATAAAACTATGAGAATCTTAAAATTCTGTTTTGTCCTTTGTAAATCACCGATTAGTCTTAATCAGACTAAAAATTGAAAGGTTAACATTAATCAATGGATACAGAAGTTTAATTCTATTTGTGGTATTACTTAAAAAATGAAACAGAATTTATGTTCCTAGATAGAAAGAGAAAGTCGTATGTGCAAATATAGCTGGCCACACATTTGAGGATAACCGTCTCCTAGGGCGGGTAATCAATCCCTATTGTAGACGCTTGCTCAGGCGCAATACCTTTATTCAACACCCACAGAGCCCATCTATAATTTGTACTGCAACTATGCTGAGCAGACCTTAGTTACAGTTTCAGGGAAAGAGGCTGTTTTCTAGCGTGATCAACATTTTGAACAAGACCAGCATGCTCAAGTTTTAGGTCACGATCACTTGTGACATCGTACTAAAACAGCTATCGAAGGCCTCCAAGGGTTCCGTCTACCTAATTTCACTCACAAGGTTTGGGTTAACCCTGCCCTGGTATAGTTTTTAGGCATTTTTCCAAAGTTGTCGCACGCTGGGATCGACCCCTCCCGTCCGATAACATCCAGTCTCCTTCCTGACATATCTACCTTGCTGAGAATCGAAACCGGGTCTCATATTCAGAATGCCAAAGTTCTAAACACTTGGTCACGTGCCAATATAAAATATGAATTGAATCATAAGCTTAACAATATTAACTTCATTTCTACACTATTTACATTCCCCTATTCGTTCATATAAAATTGAAAATCATTATTCTTTATTCACATTTTTAAATCCATTCACTCCAAGAACGATGGTAGTACTACTATGAACCAAGGGTCTACTGGAAATGAAAATGAAGACATTAGAAGGATCCGGCAACCGAATCCTAGAACAGGAAGCAAGGAATAGACTTTTACAGGGAGGAGTGTGACCCGGGCTATAAGTGAAACTGTCTACTCCCATTAATCATTAAATGAAATCTTTAAAGAAATATAATTTTTGCTTAATTTGTTATAAGTCTGGAGACGTATATTTTAAAAAAAATGACTTCATTTACAAACCAGTTTCATTAAAGGCATTAACTATTAGTGTCGGAGTTAGTTCCTCCTTAATTCCCTAATTGTTCACTAGGGGACGCTCTCTATACACTATAAATTCTGGGTGACTTCTCGCTTCGTTCTCTTTTTCATTTTGCATTTCAACGGACACATTTTATAATGTGATTTCTCGTAGCAATCCGCGTTTGTCCCACTTGTGGGAAAACGCCATGAAACACGCACACACACGTACATACGAACATTCAACAAAATACAAACTCTTTACGTTCATACACAAATACAAATGATGTCTTTGTCACTTGTAAATTTGTTGTTTAATACATATATTTGTTCATATATATATATATATATATATATATATCGGTCTTGTTTGTTTTCTTTATCTTCTGTTGGACTCGACTTTAGTCCGGCATTGTTCTTGTAGATGGACCTTCTAGAAGGAATAGACAGCACGGTCTTCTACAATATATTAGTAATTAGCCAACGAGTTTTTTTTTTTTTTAAATAGTTGTGACCCGGGCTATAGGTGAAACTATCTACACCTGTCAATCATTAAATGGAATCTTTAAAGAAATATATTTAATTTATATTTAATTTTTTATAAGTCTGGAGACATA